TGTAGGAGCGGGAATGTCTCTGTAATTAAGACTCAGCTTTCAAAGAAAAGTTAATTGCCTGGGATAATGACCAGATAGAGTTTAACTCAAGTTTGTCTTGGATGGCATCACGGAGGCCCCCATTATACCTTGCCATAAGCTGATTGTCAGACTCATTTAGGTTGTTGCAAGCACTCAACCGGTGAAACTCCTCAGTGTAATCATTTATCGATCGATTATTTTGGGAGAAATGTTGGTATTTTTGATATAATATATGCTCAAAATTGGTGGGTAAGAAATGATCGCAAAGTAGTTGTTTCATACGGGGCCAACTACGAACCGACCCTTTTCCTTCTCGTCGTCTGGACTAAAGCAAATGCAGCCACCACGCGCTTGCTCCTCCTCTCAAATGGCAAGCGACATATTTTACTTGCTTCTCCTCAGGGATTTCCATGCACTCAAAGAACGTCTCAACGGCTCTTTCCCAATCCAAATAGTCTTCTATATAAAGACGGTCGTCGAAGTAAGGAAGATCCAATTTAACACGGAAATCAACAGTTCCTCTGCACCTATGTACTTTTCTGCGGGTGTGACCATAAAATTGTTGTGAACCATCATTAGGAGAGTCTAAACCGTTAAGGCGGCGACCAGGAATTACGTTATCTTCTAAGTCGAAATTGCCGGCTAGAGGAGGAGGCAGACGGTGTCGGCCGCGAGCAACGCTGGATAAAAGGTTGTTGTACCAGTATGGGTGCCAGCACGGGAGGTCGATCGACATGGTTTATGCCTACCAACTCTTTCAGCTGTGTCATAATCGTTGCGCATCTCTGTGGAGAAACAAACGAACACAATGGTGAGGTCTTCGAGTTGCCTAATGATGCTAGCTTGCACAACCCACGCGTCTGAGTTCTGATCGCCGTTGAGAACTCGTCTGGAACTTCCTTCAACCAAGGCTCTGATACTAGATGGTGTAGAAATCAGAACAGGGAACCAAGGAATAACAAGAAGAATGGGAAAATCAATGAAATATAAACTTCAAAATAAGAGTATAATAGTCTTCTTTCTTCAGCTTACAATCCAAACATGTAATAGATAACTAACTTTACTATAATAAGCTAAAAGTAGTAAAAGATAAGTAAAAGTAAGTGTAGAAATAGAGGAAATAAAAGGTAAGGTGCAACTCCTAAGGAACGTGGAGCGCCGGGCTATCATGTGTGATATGTTGTGGTTAAGATGATCCACATCAACCTTCTCTTACCAGAGGCGTTTAGAGCTTCTTTTTGCAAAATTTAGCAAGGGTTCGGTCGGGGCAGCTCTGGGACGCTGGAAGAACTGCTTGCTGGTTGGTCGTCGGGGTATCTCTAGACTTGAGTGAAGAGAGGGAAAAAATGGCTCAATTTCGGAGCATTGGCATAGCTCTCAGACGCGAGAGAGAGGGAAAGCAATCGACAGTTCTCCGATGCGAGAGAGAGAAATAAATGAGAACTCGTTCGGCGGAATGGCCAAAATAGGGATTTAACTGGCGTATTATCCGTCGATTATATAACCGGCGTATATTACGTCGGTATTGCTTCGTCGAGTTTAAGTAAGCCGGCGTAATATTTGCCAGTGATTCAATCGGTAATTACGGGCTCAATATGCGCCAGAAACCTTTGAAATGCTGGCGGAATTTTTGCCGGTATTTCCGCGGCTGATATTGGGCCTGAAATTGCGCTGTTAACTTGTCGGCGCAAATTCCGTCGGTATGTGTGCCGGTGTTACAGGCGTGGAATATTCTACCAGAATGTACGACGGTAATAGCACATTTTTTCTGTAGTGTTATAGAACCTTCCAGTTAGCTTAAGTATTTCTTGAAATTATTTTTATTACGTGACATGCAAGCTCTATTATGAGCAATCTAGACTCACTATTTCTGAGAAACTTTTGAATAGAACTATTCCATCTTCTAGGGATGAAGTTAAGAATGGCCTCAACCCACCGAGTACAATTTGAGAATCTTGGGAAAATCTGAAAGAGAAAATTTAAATTATAACCATGAGGGAAAGGTTCATGCATGGGGATTGGGGAGTAAGTAGAATGAAATCAAACTTTCCTTTTAAAATTTATCCAACTATTATGTGTTCTAATCAAGTATGATTGACAATTATCTTTCTAATTACTCTCCAAAATTGTCATTATTAAATAAACAATCATCAAATCTTTATTAGGATGAGTTTTCATTACAAATAATCCATCCACATTCTAAAGTGATGAAAATTTACTTTTTTTTCCTACGTATTCCACTCCTAGCTCTCCCTTCCTTGTGGATACCTTTTCTCAGAACCACACTTATGATTTCAACTTCCAAACCAAAATTCCTCCCAATATAAAAATCAATATCCAACGCTGAAAAAATTGATCTCCTCATACTCGTATATATAATGATATATGAAATAGGGATCGTCAAAATTAGCACTTTTATTCGATTAAAAGTAAATGAGATTTTTATGTCTGTAGCGAGAAAAAGAAAAACAGCCGCATTAGTGAATGATGAATGAAAAACTTATGCATCTCAATCTTCTTCTTACGCAATTCAACATCTTTCTTCTACTTGTAATCAGGGTTTCAGAGATAAGGTGGCCAAGCATAGTTTATCTTCTTACATTTTTTTTTTGTGAAGCCTTCTTGTTTGTTGGAGTATTTGCAATTAAAAAAAAGGTTAATTCATAAAAGATCAACTTTTAAAATAAAATTGTATTAGATAAAAAAAAAAATTCTGTGTTATATATATTTAAAGACAAAATAATAGATAATAATTTTAAATTTTATTAAAATAACAATAATTTTAGAAAAAAAAATATTAGCTTGAAATAGTGAAATACTATATTAGAATCCCTCCAACTTCATGAATGTTAATTAGATCCACACAAAATTTAACAACAATTGAATTTCTATAAGTCGGCCAGATCCTATGATTCATTACCCTTTTGGGGGGTTTCAAATTAAAATAAAAAAAATAAAAAAATCTTTAGTGCTTGTGTTCATATTTTGAGTTAAAAGATAATATGAATATAATATATTTTGTAGATCTCTTTGGTCAGGCAATAGTTTGGCATTACTGCATTTGCCGTTAATATTAGTCGGTGAGCCGGGGGGACTGGGTTCACTTTTGCTCATAGCATAATATTAGTTAAATAAGAATTAAGAAACTCTCGAAAATGTGAAGTTAAATTCCATTGTCACTTACTTGGCCCCGCTTTCCTCCACGACTTCACATTGGCCACAAGCTGCAAAAGTACAAGAATGATTCACGGGCACTCGGCCTATTTATTTAATGAGCTCCACCTCTCTATCCTTATTATTATTTAGTGTACTACTTTCCCCTAAAGTGTTCAATTGTTCAAAACAGGCATTTGTTTTTTTCTTCTCCTCTGGAAAATAATTGATATATAATGTTTAACTTGTTTACCAGAAGAATCAAAAGTATCGGCTGATTTTACATGCTTTCTAAATAATAGCTTTAAAATGTTAAAAGCATGTGTTTAAATTTGTGCATATAAAAGCAATCAATATTATTTTTTTATTTTTTTTATTTACAAGTAAGAAATAATTGTTCTTGCTATGAGTGTATGAAGGAAGTTTTATATATAGTAGCAATTAACGAGTTTTGAGCATAATGCATCATATTAACAAACAACTCAATGCTCATGTTCACAAAATTTGTATTATAATTATATGAAAGATATTCACAATATATGAAATTAGCATTCAATAATCTTAAACACAAGTGTAATAATAATTCTATCTAATAAGCTTAAGTACATTAAGCATGTGAATCACCAATAATACATATAATACAATATTTAATTGATTACACAAAGCAATAAAATTATCTTGAATTTATAACTATCTTTTCATTTACAATAATCTAGCAATCTGTAGGTAACACCTTTTCATATATAATAATTCAACAATCATTATATTAGAACTTCTCTTCAATAGCAATTCAAGAATGCTCAACAAGCATTACCAATTAAGCATGCATGCTAAGGAACCACTAAATCACCATATGTAAACAATAACAAAAGAAAATAAGTCATTACCAATAAAACCTTCAAAATATCCTAGAGCACAAAAATATATAACACCAAAATTCAATAGTATTGTCCCAATCAAAAATAAATTGCTAGAATGTAACACACATACATAGACCAAGAAGAACTACCGATCACATTTAGACAATGATAGTGCTAAATTTTTTTTCTTAATAGGGCCACATGAAATATTATTATCATTATTATATTAACACATATCTATTGTGTATAAAGACATTAAAAATTTGGAGGGAGCACATGATTAAGCATGCATGCCTCCCTCATATCTAACCAATATTATATAGTCATCATAGAGTTATTTATAAGAACATGCACAAGAAAAAACAAAATAGTTATGGCTAGGTAACAATCAAATATACTCCCTTTGATGCTCGCTAAACAAAGAAAGAAACTACATAGAGGATAACAATTATTTATTGATAATATTGATAAGTTGAGGTTGAGGATAAATAATGATTATAGAGTTGTGTACGGGGTTTAAACATTAGCAGGAAAGATGCTACTTTGATAAATTCAATTGCAAGTGATAAATCTAGTTGATATAGATCCTGAATCATGATATCAAGGTCTTGAGATAGAAATTTACCCACATAAATTTATGCTTCTTACTCAACTTTAAAAAAAAAAATAAGAAAAAAAAGTGAAATACTAGAAGCTTCTCATGTCCCTCCTTCAATTTCGAATACACATGTGACTCCAACTAACCGCCAAAAATCCCTCCCCTCAGTTAAAATATTTTATAAGAAACTACTCTGTGAAATTGTGGAAGCCTGGGTTCTTATTAGCAAACAAAGTTGGAGAATCCCATACCACAAAACACAACATATTTTATTTTATTTTATTTTTTCCCCTTTTGCCATATAATGGGTTCACGTGAGCAACTAGGCTCCCACAAGAAAGTGATGTTTAATGAACAAGAACATGACTCCCATCACCTCGCCGATGGCTTCCTCCAGCTAAAAACCCTCACAGATTGTATTAGCCAACAAATATTCTTTCTTTCTGGTTTCCCCTTCCTATCATATTCTAAAATCCATCTCTCGAATTCTCAAAGACTCCTACACGCAGTCTTCACGAGATTCCATTACTCTGCTTTGCATAAGCAATGGCAGCTCTTTATGGGCTATTACATATTACAATGGTGATCTTAGTTCTTCCATCATGCTTCCAAGGCTCGAATGCAAGACTCCATAACCATAAATCAAAGCATCACAGAGAAACAAGAGGCATGATTTCTGAGGCCCCAGTTCCCCCTCCCGCTGAGCCACCGGCGAAAAGCTTTGACATAGATAACTCAAGCTCCGACCCGTGCATCTTTGATGTAACAGCATTTGGGGCCGTTGGAGATGGCTCCACCGATGACACAGAGGCCTTTCGTTCTGCTTGGAGAGCTGCCTGCGCAGTAAACTCCAGCATTCTCCTCGTCCCATCTAATGGCGTATTCATGATCACCTCAACAATCTTCTCCGGTCCTTGCCAGCCCGAATTCATCTTCCAAGTAATCAGCACATTCCGAGTCCTTTTTTTTTTAAACTTCCCCCAACCTCCGAAACAAACGAGACGTTTCTAATCTGTGCTGATATAGGTGGATGGAGTACTTATGCCTCCCGATGGCCCAAAATGCTGGCCTAAGAAGGATAGCAAGAGGCAATGGCTCGTCTTTTACCGTGTGGATGGCATGACTTTTAGAGGAGCCGGCACAATACGAGGCAATGGCGAAGAATGGTGGAATCTCCCTTGCAAGCCTCACAGAGTAAGTCTGCTCTATCGTCTGACTATTTATTTAAAAAAAAAAAGTCACTTATTTTAGCCAGAACTGATGATTTATCTAAATGCTGGGCAGGGTCCAAATGGATCAACATTGCCTGGACCTTGTGACAGCCCTGCGGTATGAAAGAATTGCAGACTAATCTTCCTTAAACAGTTTTGAATTTCATTTTATTATTTACCCCCTTTAATTTTTCTTTCTGCTTGCAGCTTATTAGGTTCTTTATGAGCTCCAATCTGACAGTGAGAGACCTTTACATAGAAAACAGTCCTCAGTTTCACGTCAAGTTTGATGGCTGTGAGGGAGTTCACATCGAAGGCCTTTCGATAAACTCTCCTGCTCTCAGTCCCAACACAGATGGAATCCACATTGAGGATACCAAATATGTAGGCATATACAACTCCATGATCAGCAATGGTATTTTGTACTATTTCTCCCCAGCTCACCTTTGTTCCTCCATTTATGCTCCTCTGGTAAGGTCGGTCCGTTTGAAGATGCCTGATCAAACTCCCCTCTCTTCTGCTGCAGGGGACGACTGTATTTCTATTGGACCTGGCTGCTCGGATGTGGACATTTATAATGTTACTTGTGGACATGGTCATGGAATTAGGTGCGTTTAACTTCAACCATTCATTTGTATCACAATAATTATCTGGATTAAACAATTTTTTTTAAATGATAAAATATGATTTAACTAGTAAGTACAACAAATTTGGCTCAAAGATTATTTACCGCACACAAATCAATTCGAAGTCAATGAGCCAATGTGAGCAGAAAATATATACCCATAGATATTAATTCTTTCACTCATAATTGAATCAAAGTTTATGAGTCATATCTGAGTTGAATCTCGATTGAATCAAGTCAAACTTTAACTAGACTAAACTTGAGGTTCAAGTTCAGATTGAATGACTTTAAGACAAAATCGGATCCACTCATGATGGAATCATTAATGTGGCTCATCTTGGTCTGTTGGTTGAGAGTTTTGGCTACCAACCAAGAGGTTTTAGGTTCGAATCTTGCGTATATGATGTATGTTGAATTTGCTCTAATTGATCTAAATGTACATATAAAAAAAGATGGAATCAATAATAGCTCTATAACTAGTAAAATATTTGAATGTTAAACTAATGTTTGAAAGGGTATGATTGATGGATGACAGCATCGGTAGCCTAGGCATGCAGAACTCAGAGGCTTGTGTGTCCAACATATCAGTGAGAAACGCAGTGATAAGAAACTCCGACAACGGAGTGCGGATCAAAACATGGCAAGGAGGCATGGGATCAGTATCAGACATCACATTTGATTCAGTTTATATGGATAATGTGAAGAACTGTATAATAATAGATCAATACTATTGTTTGAGCAAAGAGTGCAGAAATCAAACTTCTGCCGTCTATGTGACGAATGTTTTTTATACTAATATTAAAGGCACATATGATGTGAGGGCTCCACCCATACACTTCGCTTGCAGCGACTCAGTGCCTTGCACCAATATTACCATGTCGGAGGTGGAGCTACTTCCTTTCCAAGGGGAGCTTATTGATGATCCTTTTTGCTGGAATGCATATGGAGAGATGCAGACCCTTACGATTCCTCCAATTTCTTGCCTACAGGATGGGATGCCTGAATCAGTGCATGAGACTATCAGTCTTCAATGCTTATAATTAACATGTACTATCAATATATATTCACATGGAAATGAACCACATGGTCTAGCTAACCTTGTGTGTGTGTTTTTTTTTTTCTTCTTCTTTAATATGTTTTAATGGTTAGCTTGGGTTATGGTGGCATCATTGTGCTTGCATTGGATGCCCATATGACCTTTATTATGTATGATGCCAACAAAAATCATTGCCTCAAAAGAAAGCACTAGCTAGTTAGCTAGGTAAATGTTTTACTATGATTATGTGATGGTATTTGTTTGAGAATGTACTATTATTATCAAGATGAATAAACTATTTCACAAATTTCTTAATATAAAGATAAAATACTCTAAACTCAAGGATAACAATTCTCAATTGTGAAGAAAAAACTATATTTAAAAAAAGTTAAGATATGTTAGAAGTGATGGATACATCTAACTTAATAACATAATGATGAAAGATAGACTATGATTGAATAAAACATAATTCATTAAGTGAATGTCATTTCTTAATCTTATCATGATAGAGTATCAAATATATATCTATATAGGTCTATGTCAGTAACTCCTATGCTATTTAATAAGTTCCTTTTATGGAACTCGATCAGTGGGATTATGTGGTCAAAGCAATACTCTCTTGAAGGAAGCATGACTCCGCAAAGCTGACACTAGTCTATGAGGGAATCTCTACTCCCTCTTGTGGAGATCAAAGTGTACAAACACGCGCTAGGAAATTGGACCAAGGGTTGTAACTTTCCTCTACGAGCTCCTCTAAAGAACTTGTCTAGGCCATTATGCATCATGAACATCACTTGCCTTAACAAAACAAGTTCACCCACAACAACTGCCTCTAATCAAGGCTAGCTGCCTACCCTAGACATCCTCGATCCTGTTATAGGAAGCGCACACCTTCGAAGCCTATGACTGCAAAGTAGTTTGAATTAGTTATGTTTCAAATTAGTTTGAACTAATTTTGAACGAGTCTAATCAATTTTATACAACAATAAGGGATTATTCTTGATTTGGGACAATTTACTAATTAATATCTAAAAAAATTAACTTTTAATCATAAATTTTCAAATAAACATACAAGATAATATTTAAACAATTATAAAGTCAAATTTCTAATTTTACATTTTCTTATTTGTGCTAAAAAAAATCCAAATACATTAATAGGTGTTGTTACCCTTTAAAGCTTGAACACTATTTAGCCCCAATGATAGAATGCCTATGTCATGATTAAAAGAAAAAAAACAATTGTATAAATAGTTAAATACTACACAATTTTTATCTATTTATATATATCTTATATCTAA